CGGGTCTCGATGATTTTTCATCGTTGCCTGAATTTACTGACATCGGATAAGGTCAAACCACAAAACAGAACATCTTTTTTCTGGCTTTGGCTCCCACGACAAACATGTACTGGTTGGAGGAGTGAGTGCCTTGCAGCTGGGCAACCAATAACCGAGCTCTTGTGGTGCATGGTGGTGTGGTCGGGCGACATGATTGAATCACCTGCCCATTTAGAGGACACCAATCAAGGACATGGTTGTCTCACATGGCGGTGGGAGCTCGTCTGTAAGGAGAATCTGAAGTGGCTTTGCATGAAGGATCCCCAGGGTAGTGAAATTACAAATGTAACATCATTTTTTGAATTCGATTCTTATCGGGGGGATGTGCCAATTTTGTTGGGGTCATTCGATTTATCAATTTATGGCATGCTTCCGCATAGAAAGGAACTAGGCTAGGGCGAAAGATATGAATGAAAAATTAAAGGTTGAGCATCTCTCTCTAAACCCTAACGACCTGCAATCTATTCCCGTACAAATACCACATCAGTGGCATAGCTGATTTTCAAGCTAGGTATGGTGTGTGGAATGGTTCTGAGAATCCAGGACCATGGCATTTCAAGCATATGAATTAGTATTTCCTATAATCAAAGGATTTTAGTTGTTGGATCGTGACCTGGTTTTAGGGTTCGTGTTGCTGATCGGGTCGCATCCACAGTCCAGTGACATGCAGATAACAGAATAATTTGTTTCCAATTATAATCACACTTTCTTTAATCTCCAATAATTTGTTGCTTGATTTCTAAGAAACCGAAACTAACGCGAAGGCCGCGTATTGAGTAGACAATTACATGGGCATGTAACTCAAGTCAATGGCACAATTTACTGTACAGTACGAATGGTTGAAAAAATAGGAACATTAATTGGGGGTGTTTTAGTCTTTTTATAAATTTATAGGTCATTAAAAGATTTGATGGATAAGATGGTTTTTTTTTAAAAAAATTTTTTAAAGTAAAAAACACTTCTTCATCTTCAAGATCAACAAAATTTAAAATTATTAATTAAAGATTGTTTTTTTTTATTATTTTTTTTTATGGTATAATGTGTGACGATAGTTATTAGATAGTTTGTCACTTGTAACAATTTCTTTTCTTTTTTATCTTTTTTGTTTTCTTAAAAGAAAGTACATGTTTGTTCTTTTATATATATATATATATATATATATATATATATATAATTTTAGTCCTCATATTTTTTATTGTTTATTTTTGTCATTTTTCTTTTTAGAAAATATTTTTATGTTTTTAATTTAGTTTTTAAATTACAATTTGTCATATATGATTTTTTCAAATTCACTTCTTATTCTTTTGGTTTTTCATTTTCACCTTTGGTTTTTTTATTAAGGTTTTGTTGGTTTTCAATTTCATTTTTCAATAAAAATTTATGTTTTTTATTTTTTCAATTGAGCCTTCATTCCTTTGATTTTTTTTGTTAAAGTTTTTCTTTTCAATTTAACCCTCAAATTTTAATTTTTTTTGATGTTGTTTTTCACTCTCATTTTTTTAATTACAATTTTTTATGTGTTTGATTTTTTCTAGTTATATTCTTTAGTGTTTGATTTGTTCGAGATTGGACTTCAAGATTTTTTCATTTATTATGCTTTCAATCTAATGACACGAGTTTCAAATTTAAGAGTTAATATAATTATGGATCATTTTTTTGCTCTTATTTTCTTATACAATCTTATTATTCTACATTATTTTTTTTAAAAATTGTTATGTGGTTACTTTCATTTTTTTTATTGGTTTGTCTAGGTCTCATTACCTAGACCACGAGTTTTAGAAGTCTTTTTTCAGATATAGATTTTTTTTTTTAAAATTGTTTTGTTTTGAATTTAATTTTTGTAGATTTGTTATTTTATTTTATATAAAAAAGTTTTGTTATGTGAAAAAAATAGTTATTTTGAAATAATAATTCTAATATGTCCTGTCATGCATTCTTTTCTTTTCTTTTATTTTATGCTCTCAATTTCATATATGTTTTTATTCGTATTATCTTTTATTGATTTTAATAACAAATTTGGTGAAGACAAACATATAAATATCTTATTTTACGAGATTAAATATCTTGATATACACCAACTTTTTAATCTTTTATTATTAATGAATTTTTTTTACATAGATTATCATATTATAATTTTTTTTATTAAATTGTGATGCACTATGAAGCGTGGGTTATATATATATATATATATGAAAGACTAAACAAGTAAAAAAAAAAAAAGAATATCAGTTAACATCATGGATTTTAAATAAAGGTAAGTATCCATTCAAACAGTTTAATTTGGATTAAAAAAAGTCCGATCAAACCAACCTTTTTTTTTCTTTTAAAGTTTTGAACCAAATAAAAATAAGCAATTCAGTTTGGACTTACATTTTTTAAAATCAAATAAGTTCAATTTAGTCAATGAAACTTTTAATTGAGCTATTTCTTTTCAACAGGTTTTGATTTAGAGAGCTATAACTAAATCAAATTAAACCAATTTTAATTGAGCTATAACTTATAATGAGTTTTCTTTTTCTATTTTGTTTTGTTTGGTTGAGTTTTGATTTCTGAAACTAAAATTAAATTAACTAAAATCAATTTTTTTTAAAAAAAATCCCAACTAAAATTATCTAAAAATTTCAAAAAAAAAAACTCATTCAATTTGGTTAATCTCAAGTTATTTAATTTTATAATTAGTTTTTTTTGTTTTTATTTTTGGAGCTGAAATTCAACTAAACCATTTTTTTTAAAAAAATTCCTAACCAAAATTCCTAAAAAAAAAAACTTGATTTGCTCACCCCTAACTGCAAAACTGAAATGGAGATTGGCAGAGAGTGGAAAAACGAAAAAAAAAAAAAACGAAAGAAAGAAGGAATTTCAAAGACAACAGACTTCAAGAAACGAAGAACTATGGTCATTGCTGTGTCCAAATAAAAAAGTTCACAAACAATACTGTTAACCTGTCGAAACGATGGGCATGCATCTGCCGAAACAGCAGAAGCATGCATTTCTTTAAATTTCTCTTCGAGCACCGAGCTCACAACCGTGGCTTTCCCATATAATCCTCAAATCGTTTTCTTTCGGAGCCTCTGCTGCCTTTCCTCTCCTCCCAAGTCACTCATTGTTCTTGTTTTTTCTCAGATGGAACTTCCTCTGCCTCGCCTTCCTTAGCTGATCCCTTCTTTATTTCATCCTGCAGAAGTGTTAAAATGGCTAATCACAAAGATTACAAAAGATAACATACAGGATGAGAAGCTTATCGTAGGGTGTATGCTTACTTACTACCTCATCAAGCAAGGATCCAAGGGATTTCTTATCTTCTTCATTCGTTTCAACGTTTTCTTCTGCAACCTTTTCTACGCCCTCTAGCTCAACCTCCACGGTTGCCTCCTTGGAAGGCTCAGGTAATGGGGTTGAGCCAGCATCACCCTTCAAGTCCTTTGGTGCACTAGCACAGCCTCCCATGCTTGATGTTCAAATAGAGACTAAAATTCTCTCCCTTTCCTTGTTTGATTGTTGAAAGAAGAGAGAGAGAATGCTAGCTTTTATCGATGGACAGGGCTTTGTTTTGGTGTTTATATATATATGCAGAGAGAGAGAGAGAGAGAGAGAGAGAGGTCGATGCTTTGCAGTAGCTACCAGCCGAGTTACACTCTATGGCTTAGAAAGATTTTAGGAGTATTCAGAAATAGTTCTCGACAACTTGGGGCCGATGACTGTATCACAGGCTGTGGCTGTTCATTCTCATACATTGCACATAATTTATTAGCTGTGTATATTTCAAAATACACGACCCATTTGCTACGTTCTTCCTTCTCTTTTTGCTTGCTGTCTCTCCATTTTTGTACGAAGTCATTCCGTATTGGTTCTTATCATAGTTGTCTTGTCTAATCAAGGGTTTAACTCAGGTTAGGGCTCGGATCACTAGATTATTGGCTCCGCACGTCACTAGATTAATCCTACAACGGTGATATTTTTAACAAAAACTAAAAACTAAATAATCATTGGAGATGGATATATCCCGATTAGGTCGGTTGTGATTAATATTTAAAATATTTTAAAATAAAATATAATTTAAATTAAATTTTAAGTTTATTGATAATCAAATCGATCTGTTATATCAAGACGAGTTTAATAACTATAAATTTTAATTTTTGATATCACATGAAAACTATCTTTTTATAAATCAGATTTAAAATGGTGTTATTTTGAATGAAAGCTAAATAATCATTAGAGAGGGTTTTATTAGGGTTCGGTTGAGCTAATCAAATTGTGGTCGGTGTTCAAAACAATTTAAAATAAAATTTAATTTGAATTAAGTTTTAGGTTAGATGGTCACTAGATCCACTCTATATCAGATTAAGTTTAATAATAGTAATTTTTAATTCTTATTCTCACATGAAAACCACTTCCTTGAATTATAATGTTATGGTTAGTGATTAAATTAGTGAAAATACTTGATTTTTCGTTTCAGTTTTTGTTCTATTAAAAATCCTGTGCTTTTGTATTTTTTATTTAATTTATAATTGAAGTGGACATTTACCCCTGCATTACGTGGAGATATTATTTTATAAATCTTACTAAATTGTTATGCAATAAAAGGAGATAATAAAATTAAAATTAACGCACAATATATACTTCACATGTCTATTGGCACCCATACAAAACATTTTGTCATTACCTTCATGTATTGTTTGTTGGTTTGCCGGACATGCCAAGATTGGCTATAGCATGCTATCTAATATATCCAAAACATTTGGGAAATATTATTTTGTTTGTGGTTATTCCTTCGAAAAAGAAACTTTTTTTTTTATAAAAAAAATATAGGGATGAGCATGAAGTATGTAATTTAATTAGAGTTTAAAAAATTACAAAAACAACAATAAATAGAAAAATAACTAATGGTGCAAAATATCCAAGACCTAAGCTCACTCCTCTGTTTCTAGATCCAAAAATTCTTTAATTCTATGAATAAAAACATAGAATTTTGTTTTTTTTAATCTTTCATGAATTGAATTCAATTTCGAAAACTTTCTACACACCTAAATATGGATATTCAAAACGACATCAAAATAGGAACTTTCGTAGGCCTCCACACACTCCCATATGCCCTAAGCGCAGGTGGACAGCTGCAACCCGCGTGTGCATACCGCACGCCTCCTTACAGGGCATCTTCACTGCCGGACTGGTGGGATTCATATGGACTTCATATGTGCTACTTTGAGAATCCATCCCCGTCTCTAGTGTTCTTGAACTCGTCAGAGAGCTTGCACTGCATACTATCTATAACAACAGATATCAAGCACAAACAATAAAGAATAAGAAAATCACGAGACACAGAAAAACCAATTCATCATAATTCACAGATACTCATTCAAGTCCAATTTACACGCCATTCCCAGATTTAGTGCTCGCGGCAGATGCACATGAGGTAATCATTTCATGCCATTTGATGCTTTCTAAAGTTACCATGTATGTCCATAATACGAGTTTGAAACAGAAACTGATGCAAACAACCATGTTAATCATCCATGAGCACAAAATGAAGAACTGCAAGAGTAAAATGAACTGACTTCTTACTGCAAAATGTGAACAGGCAAACGGTGGATTTGGAAGTCAAGGGGGCAAGAAAAACCTTGTAATTCAAATAGGTGCACATGCTAGGTGACAACCCTTTTAAGTACAAAAAATTAATTAGAGTTGCTTTCCCAGATATTTTTTACTGAAATCAAAATTTCATACGATCCTCGCTGCAGCCAGCCCACCAGCAAACAGTTCTTTAATCTCTTGTTAAACAACCTCAAACTAAAACATCATACCCCTCGTTAATCCCTTGAGTTAGCTCTTTTTTAACAACCTAATAAGAAACACTCTTTTAAAGTAGTTGGACGGTGCAAGTGATGTCAGAAATGAAAGAGGCAGGTTAATCTTTGAGATATCATCACATACCTATCTAATACTTGATTTTCCAAAGCAAAGAGGAGTGGGAGCTATCAACTGCATATTTTAGATGAGAAGATGTACTCCCGCCTGTTCTATGCCTTGATAACTTCAAACTCAGTCGAGAGAGCAACTCCTTATACCGCGATTGTTTTCTCTTCAGCACTTGGATATAGGCATTCAACCCAAGCCATTCAACTTCTCCTACCTCCAATTGAAGAATTGGGTGGAAACAAGATCCAAGGTGCATAGAACGCATCCTTCTCTTTATGAGAACGTACATATACCTAGTTGTAAATGAACAAAGAGAGAGAACAAGAAGAGGTAATAGACATGAAAAGAATTAAAAAAAAAAAACACCAAGCTATTCTAGATCCTACATTCAGAAAATGAGAAAGAGAATAAACAAAAGAGCCATTTTATTAGATCCAAACCTCAAGGACCTTTCAATCATGTTTGCGTAGAATGTTGCACTCAGATGGCAGTGGAACGACATGCTAGAGACATAACAATGGAACTTCATTGCACATAACAAAAATGCTTGGTAGATGTTTAATCTGACAACAGGTGCTGAGTTTATATTCGAATCGAAGAATATGGGATGGCACTTAGGTCTCATGAAGTTCCACAGCTTCCTCTCTAGATGTTGACAAGGTTTACCTTGCCAGCAGACAGTAAGAGTAGAGTTTAAATGGTTGTTCAGATACCTGTTTAATAGATTGAACAAGTTATTGCTTGAACACATTAAACGCAAACATTGAATGCTATAGAATGTATAGTAACAAATCTGAGTGATGAATGCTATATGAAACATGCTGATGCAGAACCAAAAGGAAAGGTTCCATGAACAAGAGGAACCAACACCTTAGGTGAATCCAGATCAAAACACAAGAGGATATCCATCTCTCTTTGGTAACTCTAGTGCAAAATTTCATTAAAAAAAAAACAGTTTTAACTCATAAGACAGTCTTATGTGCTCTATATGGGTGCCAAACCTTAAGAGTCATAAATAAATAAATGAGTCTAAATGTACTATAAAATTCATTAACATCATGTTCTCCTAGATAATTCAGTTCACACCAAAAGAAGATCTTGCATTTTTTGAACTGGAAAAAAAGGATCTCTTTTGGGTAATATAATAATAGAAATCGACCTCCAAAAATGAGAACATCCTTTGATAGTCAAATAATGTATAAATCTTCAACAGATTCTCCATCACATTAAGATTATTTGGATCAATTTACAAGTCCAGAAATAAATCTCAAAGACTCAAAGTCTTTGGGCCTACAGCCTCTAGCTACGAACTACGTGGCATCCATTAAAATTACTAGCCAAACAACAGAACAGAAAAGTCTAAGCAAGCAATAGGATAAGACCTATCCAGCAAAAATTATAAGAACTAACCTCGTATAATCTGCCTGGACTTCTAAAGTGCACGAGTTTAAAAGCAAGCCACTCCATCGAAGAAAGGAGATACCATCCTCACCAACATATAGCTTGTTTGACTGAAGCCCTGATGCTTGTTCAGTATCCAAATTAAGACAAAACTTTTCCTCATTCATGAAGCAGTTATAATCTCTAAATCCACTCCTTAACTGAGAGAAAAGGCCAGCAGCCTGCTTTTTAGATGTTGATATGAATAGAAAATCATCAATGAACCTAAGAAGCATGTAATGAGGAGATGAGACGAGTTTATCCCTACTGCTACTTCCTATAGCAGAAGCATCCTGATAGGAATGTCTTCTGGATAAATCTTCAAGAAAAGGAAAGATCACATTCCTTTCAAGGTGCCCATAGTATAATGAGCAAAGCAGGGAAGACAAAATGCTTCCTTGAGGTATACCTTTTCTTTGCAAGTAAAACTTATCATCAAACTGAAGAACATTGCGCTTCACATGCTCAGTGAGATTGGACAGGAGTTGTTCCCTTTTCAGATACCTACTGCGCCCCTGCAACATAACAAGAGACAAAATTTTCAAGCACCGGTTAGCTTTTGACAAGATTACATATCTGCATCAGTGAAATCTATATGCCTCTACAATCAAGCCAACTGTATATGTTTGAAAGAGTGATTTATTACTCTGTTGATATAAATGAGATCCCACTGCCAAGGCTATTTGCAAAATGGGCTCAAGAAAGTGAATCAATGAGAAAAGTGCATTGGTGGTTAATGGAATTACTGTTCTCAAGGGCTCAAATTAAGTAATGTAAGTGTTATCTTTTATCTAAAGAATCCTCGCTGCTACACCTATATCGAGGCTGAAATTTTCAGTAGCTATGATCACACATAAAGATGTAGATATGCCACTAACTACATATTACAGTGGGTGAGACTCAAACTCTCAATCTCATCGTTGAATTCAAACTTTCAATCTCATCATTGAATGTTCCATGAGGAGCTCACTTACCACTACAATTATCCGTTATTGACATTATTTTAAAAATGAGAATAAAAGGCTCCATCTATCCTCTTGTAAAATGGGACAATTCTTCAACATGCCCTTATATCTTTAATTGTGTCTATTTAAACCCTGAGTTTTCTCCAAAATATCATTCCATCCATTTTTTTCCATCTAAATTAACAGAAAAGTCATGTGACTTGTATATGGATGGAAGGACATATTGAAAACCAATACTTTATTCAAGTATTAAGCAGGCACAATTAGAGATATAATGACAGATAAGAGAATTATCCTATTATGTAAGGATATATTGAACTATTTACCCTAAAAATAATAATAAAACAAACTGAAATTAGAATAAAATGTTAGGAATATTATTAATGCACGTTTTCTTTTTCCTGCTTAGTTTAGCACAACTTGCGTGTTTGATGCTTCTAAAAAGAGCGGGTACTTTATGTAATCATAGGACCTTGAATAATGAAATTTGAGTATTTTGCTGTAGTTTTGAGGGTTTTGGCCTTGTGTGTTCTTTCTTCTGCTTCTCTTCTCTTTTATCTTCTTTCTTTTATTATATTTCTTTCTTCCTACAGAAACATCGGTTACCATTCACTCCTATGATAAATATCCTCCCAAAACATATCCTCAATCCATTGCAATTTCACATGCATCAAATCTTAACCCAAATCCCAATCCAAAATCCCTAGCCCACCACAAATTCAACTTGCTCAGTGTTTAACAAGATTCAGTCAAGTTTTCTATCGATACCTATAATTTCCGTTACATTTTCCATGCTTGTTGTCCTTTGCAAGATTCAAATGGTCTTCTAAACCTAAATCCAAATCTATTTGCAGCTGGTTATATGGATCTGATTCCTCCATTTATTTCTTCACAAGGTTTTATAGATGATCCTAAATGATTAAGTTGATGAAAAATAAAAAAGTAATTAAACATGATTGATTTAATTAAAGAACATTGGAAAAATAGAAGAGGGATTCAAATATAGCACCTGATTAACAAGGACAGTATGCAATGAACCAAAGCGGAGAGAAGAACTGAATCTTGTAAGACCAGTGGTGATGTTTTGATCTCTTGACATAAGGCGCTCATGTGCCCACAAAGATTTTTTAGTGCTGACAACTTGACAAAATCGCTTTAGAAGATATTGATCCTCATATATGACATCTTCCATGACACAAAGCAGCTTGTCCTGATCTATGGAATCAAATGCTTTGGATACATCAGAAACAACAATGAACACATCAGGCATGATATTCGATCTTTTATTCAAACAAATTTTAAACTGGCATAACTTTCGGTAGATATCATTATAGTCAAACACCGATGACCCTAGCTTGTCTGGTTCTTTCAACTGTATACCTTTCAGAACAGCATGTGTTTCACGTAGAACGCAATTTACAGACTTAAAATGTTCACATTTAACCACCTTGGTAACAAATTGTTTTTTTCTCTGCATTCGAAATGGCTGAAGTTCAGAAGTGGATTTTTTAGCAGGTATTGTTGATGATGCTTTAAGATTTGCTATCATCCTTATTCCATTTTTCTTTGGAAGAAGCCTGAGCTTTGAGAAACCAAACAACCTACAGCCTGTAATACTTTCAGCACTAGCCTCGTCCAAGCACTGATAGTTCTGGTCTTTCAAGCAAGAAGTGGCTCTGTTTCTTAATTTCTCCCAAATTGACTTCCTGTAATAATAGATTTCATGTTTTCCATGCTCACTTTCAGTTACATAGAAGTTGGCTTGTACCAATGGCACAACCAGAGATGAAAAGAACCAATATATCCATTTCTGTACAAGTAGGTGTTTCAAATCATTTGCAGCACCAGCACCATTCCATTTATATAAATCCTTATGCAAGCCTGCAGCATGACCTGGCGTATTATTCAGCATATGAGTATCCAAGAAGCATGAACAGTGTTTGTCTGACAGAAACGGAAACCCGGAAGTCTTCAACTTATGCATACATTGCTTCAGTGAGAATTTTTCAAACTTTCTGAGCCAAATAAATTTTGCTAAATTTCTCCTTAGGATTCTTCGGTTGACATGATTTCCTAGCAACTCAGGAGGGACTACATTTCTACAAACAGCCCATATAAATGACACAACCTGACTTTTTGAGCAATAAGATTTTAGTGTCACTATCTGAGGATCAGTTGTTCCCGGAGTTTTATCACAGCGTTCATTAACAACAGCATGGGATTTCCCAGAGAATTCTCTCTCCAAATTATACCCCTAAAAGAGAATTTTCCACAAAAGGAATAAATTTTCTGGCAACAAAAGGAAATTAAACTAGTCACAAACCTCTCAGACTACACAGAGGTCCCAGGTGAAACTTACCTCAAACACCAAGTTTGAATTTTCTGTGGCGTTTTGATTCAATGATGAAACAAAGCAGTGCCTATGTATTAACCTTGCATACTTGCAGCATTGAGTTTGTCTTACAAGAACCTTAACCAGTTTAACAAGGGAATGGTACCTAGGAAAGGAAAATAACAATAAATTATTACATTGTAACATAGAGGTAATTTGGCATCCATTCTGCATGTAACATATTCCTATAATTTCCTAAGTACCCGTAGTTTTCCATAACCTACATATTTGTGCTTCAAAGGACCAAATAGCTTCCATGAAATACTATCTATTTTTTAGCAGAAGAGAGGAATTTGTGGCAGCATGCAGTGTTTTCAGATTTTGTTTTTTTTTTGGCTAGACAGAAATTTCAGAACTGTATTCTTTCTTGGAAAAGTTCTCTTTCTAATCATTAGTTTAATTGAAGGATCACTTATCTTCCTCACGGTATCTTCTATTTGAAGCTTTCTGAAGTTTACTTTAGCTGGTATTAAATGAGATTGGAAAGCACTCATAGCTGAAGCACTTTCTTGGCTTCCTTATAATTGACATTCACAGAAAAGAAAGATAAAAACTATCAGTGTTGAATTAATATAATCTAATGAAAATTCTGACTCTGAGGAACCCTTGTCTATGGATTGGCTTGAGGCGGATCCCATGCCTCTAGTGACGAGGCTTTTGAAACTGGATGAAATGGAAAGTTTCTGCGACAGCATGCCAGATCACATTTCACCATATAATATCCCATTAGAGGCTCTATTAGCATTCAGTATCAATATCATGCATTTCCATCACTCATCTATTCAGTATTGCACCATCCATAGCAGCCACATCAACTCTATTAAGCTATTTGGTAATTCCTGCCTTCACAGAATTCCTACTTTCATCCCCTTGACCAACCCCCAACCCCCCTCCCCAATAAAAAAAGAAAAGAAACGAAAGTTAATGAAAAAAGAAATATAGTGAACCGGTCTTACAGAGAATCACGAAATGGCTTGCAAACCCTCCTTCCCTACCACACCCTTTTTGAGCCTAACAATTTCTAAGGAACTTATCTGCATGTTTGCTCCAATTATGCCTAAAACAATCTAAGCCAACTATCTAATTGTTCAATCTTGGATCAGCTGGAAAATATCACACACATTGAAGTTATGTGTAGGCATAGCTTACAGAATGTTCTACACTTCAATTAACTGTTCTGAATAGATTATGGCAAATAGACTCTAGCAATGAAAAAAGAACAGAAAAGCCACCCAACCCCATTGTTACAAGCCTAAAAAAGTCAAGTAATGTTTGTTGGGTTAGTTTATTTGTCCATAGTAGCTCAAAGAGGTGAATAATTGCAGAGTTATAAACATAAGAGGTGGTGCAAATGTTATAACGAAATTACTAAACATGATTAAGAAAACAAAAGAGTTAAGTGAATTCTTTACATCAAGAAAATATCACATATAAAGCTTGACTCACAGGCATGTGGATCCCATGAGACAAAAGTCTTTGCTGTAGGAAAGTGGCATTGACGGAGCACTTAAATCTTCATCAGATAGGCCAAAAATACTCTGAATCATAGACTTTGAACCGATCAAATTAGGCTTCAAGCACATCAGTACATCTAAATATCATTAAGGTCATACAATAACCAAGAAAACAGGAGCAGAAGCAACAAGTTAACTTGTACCATGCTCGAGGAGGGAATAATCAACTTTTAAACAAAAGCACATTACTGTTCCACATAACAGCATCATTACGGTAAATTAATAGCAAAGAACTATATAGTATATATAAGCAATTTGTTTATGGATTGAAGAATTTTAAATGATAACTATTATAATTCTGAACAAAAGGAGACCATGAGCAAAGAACACATGTTTTGAAACATACGAAAGGATACGGTTTTTTGGAAGCATTGATGAAGGATGTTTTGAATTATAAAATATTGGCCGCCTATCAATCTGTATACCTTTCATGTTAGGAGCTTGTAACACAAGATGACAACAGCATTGTGGCGGCGGCGGCATCTGCAGCTACATAGAAAAGAAAGAAACATAACAAAGAGAAAATATAAATAACTTGAGGAAGCCATCTGTAAGAACCACGGGAAAACAGTTATAACAAAACATGATCTTCAAAAGAAATTACCTTTCCAGGGCTTGAACTGTTCCTGAATTCAAGAGGAAGCCTCTCAGGTGAGTTACCTTCATTCATAATGTAACAAGTCTTACCATCAATTTCTTTAGCATCCAAAGACCTCTGCTTTTTGCAGCGGCGTCGCTGCCACCCAAATGGCTTCCTGGATCTCAATGTACACTGATACAAGCCTGGGAGTTTTTCATTCGAATGCCCATCACGGTTAACAGCAGCAACTCCAGTTTTTTCAGATAAACACTTGTCCTGATCAAAATCAATAACAGGATATGTCGTCCTATCATAACTTAAGGAAGCATCAGCAGTAAGTTGGTGTCTTTTAAGCATTAAGCTAGCAGCATCGGCAGCCTTATCATCCCAATCCCTCTTCCTCTTAAGTCCTGGGTACAAAACCAACAATCAATAATCACTGCAAAAACTAAAATTCCCCAAAAACAAATTGCACAGGTTATGAGGATGGGATCATGACGTGTGCTGTCAAGTTACCAACAAGATTGGGGGAATGCCCCTTCCTCCGAGACGACTGAAAGACAAAATCAGTGATAGGAGGACCTGCCACCTGCTGGTGTTGCTGACGAGGCAATGGCAAAAACATTGACGAATACTTCAAAAGGTAATTCATAAATTCATCCCCAACCCTTTCCAACAAAAGGGTCCACGCTGAACTCGTCAAAACCTCCGCAATGGGGCTTGAACGAAGACACTGTAAAACCAAATAAGGGCTTATGAATTTTCTTTTTTAAAAAAAATACAGGAAGAAAGACTAGTCCAAGTACTTGCCTTGTCATAACCGCTGCATAAAACATTATTCGACAAAGGTTGTTCTGTGACGATGAACTCAATGATGCGGCTCACGATAAGAGGTTGAGGCCATCTGTTTTCGAGATTGAAGCGAGCCACAGGAGGTGCATTGTCGCTGAGGACGATGTAGCAGTCTTTAAGGAGTTTCCGGTAATTGGCGGGATCATCAGCCTTAAAGAGCACAAATGATGATGGAGGATTGGCGATTAGGGATGTCACTGTGTTGCTTAGGGTTCGAGCTCGATATCTGAATACTCTCCATAAAACTTCTGGGACTCTTCCTTTCGTCTTCTTTTTGGACATTTTTGTTTTTCTTCACAGTGCATTGTGTTTGAGAGTTTTTCTTAGAGGAAAGGGACGATGGAGGATGATTACTTGAACTTGTAATTTATGTTTTACAATATTTTTAAAAATTATATTTTTTATTTTTAAAAATTTATTTTTAATATTAATATATAAAAACACTAAAAATAAATTTAAATTTCTAAAATATTTTAAAAATATAAAAGCAAAAACATTTTTAGACTTGTTTATTCGCGATTGAGTTATATATTTTATCTGTGTTTTGATATTATAAAGTAGCAAAAACATTTTTAGACTTGTTTATTCGGGATTGAGTTATATATTTTATCTGTTTTTTGATATTATAAAGTAAAATAATTTTTTATTTGAAAATATATTATTTATATTTTTAACACAATATATTAAAACTAAAAATATTAATTTAATATTTTTTTCAAAATAAATACAGTTAAAACTCACTCTCAGTCAATGACTTTTGTTTTATACATGACTAGTTCATGGTGACTGCCTGCACTCCTTGGTGGCCACAAGCATATCGACGTAAAACAAATATGAGAATTGTTGAGGGGTTTTTAAGAAAAAAAAGGTTAATTAACAATTTACTATTTATTTTAATAAAAATAATCTATAATTATATGTGTTCATGTATACTGAAAAAAATATGAAAGCTAAGAGGCGCAAACAAATAAAGAACCATTTATGCTAACTTATGCTATTCTGTTTTTTTAGTTTAATTATACATTAATAACATCTAGAGAGTTAAAATTACCAACTCTTTAACTGAATAAATTCAAAGGTATTTAAAATAAAGAGATTGAAGAATTATTTTTTTCTTATAATATTATAAGAAATAAATATTATTTATAAAATATTAATAAGAGGTAAATATTATTTTTATAATGTTAATGAGATAAAAATATTCTAAATTCTTAAAAAAAATCTATATATGTAGGGAGAAAAATACTTATAATATTAATATTTTATATTAAAAATCATAAAAATAAACATGAGAGTTTTATAACCTAACTATAATGATTTCCAAACTTTTAATCATTAGAACTTGTTATATTATCAAACTCATATTAAATGAACATAACAACAAGTCAAATTATTATTTAATTAGGTTTGATATACATTTAAACTCAAGATTAATAAGTTATACATGCTTAAATGAGCTTTACATATATTAAGTTTAATAATAATAAATTTAGTAATTTATTAGACTCACATATTTAATTAAATTTGATATTTAAAAATAATATGTTTAACAATTTGTTAAATTTATTTTTAATTAGACTCTATACATAACAAATTTTAAAAGTGTAGAACTTGATATTTTGTAAAATTTATATCCACTTGAACTAGACTACATACTTAACTCATGAATAATAAATCTAGAAATTTGCTAAATTTATATTTGCTTGAGTTTAATATATAATTAAACTAAAAATTATATTCACTAGGCTCATAACCACATTAAAAAAAAAACTTTGGGTTAAAAACAAGCCAAATCCATATTATACCATCCTAATATTTTTTAAGTATAGGAATATTGGATATGGAGATAATCCTAAACCACGTATCTTTGGGTGATCACAATGATTTAGACTCAATTAATTTTTTAAAATATTCTTCATTTAGTATAGAATGTTGGCAGAAGTAGAGTTTTGGCAAAATTGTTTGGTGGGTTTTCGAGTTTGGAACGGAGGCTACCAGAAAATCACCACCCTGACTCCCCTTTCTACCTGGTTAAGCTTCCTTCTGAAGATATCGCTCGAAAGATTGTCAGTCGAAGCATACTTGTCAAAGGAATGTATGAACTTTGGTGATAAGGAAGTAGCTCTGAGCAACTGGAAGAAGCTATAAAGAGTTATCCAGACGATAGAAAATTACCTTACTTGACTTGTTAAACTACTTTCAAAGTCACTGTTGACAGCTTTGGAAAGGAAATCAGCTTCCGGGAACAAAATGACCGTATCAAGGGTCTTGCTTACCTCCTTTCAAGGTTTCTTTCTTTTCTTGCTCACTTTTTTTCTAATCTAATCTTGCCAACATTGATTATTAGAAAGATTTAGTACTGTTCGTAAAGATTATGTTTTTTTTTTTTTTTGAATGAGAGATAGGGAACGGGAATTGCATTGAACCCTTTATTCACTTGTCATGCTTCTAGGTTTATTGTCATTTGCCAGGGTAGAGTAAATTTGAAAAACCCAGACCACAACTTCTGGCTTATGGAAACCGATGACTATGGAACTCACAATGGGCTTCCGCGGGTCGTCCAAAGAAGAATCTTTTTTGATCAACAATTTGGTGGTGCTGACAGGAAGCTCTTACCAACTTATCCGTTAAAAAGCCGCAAGTACCTCGGCCCAGCAACTCTGGGTGCAGTCTTGCAGAGATGGCTTTCTTGATGGCCAACCAAGCACATGTCACCCCAGGGAAAGTCGCCTATGATGTACCTCGGCCCAGCAACTCTGGGTGCAGAGATGGCTTTCTTGATGGCACATGTCACCCCAGGGAAAGTCGTCTATGCTCCTTTTGTTGGATCTGGCAGCATTCTCATTGCTGCAGTTCACTTTGGGGCAATCACACCATGGTTTGCGTTTTATTGCCCTTTTCCTTCATGTTAATTTACTTTCCATCTGCTACTTACCTTACGAAATCGAAACAATCTATTTGCTGCTTCTAGTAACAACAACTGATGTAAATCTTTCAGGGAGCTGACATTGATATTAGGGCAGAACCTGATGGTCGTGGTCCTAACTGAAATGTTTGGAGCAATTTCAAGCAGGTGATTGAAAACACTCTATGCATTGCTAAACTGTCTTTGTATATAAAATTATATATCTTAGAGTGAAAATATGTTTTTTCCCTGTATTTTTTTTTTGGTTAAGTTATCTGAGAAAATAACTTCATGCTTGCCTAAACTATGCTTATTTGTTAATGTATTTTTGCAGTATGGATTATTACCCTTGCTAGTTGCTCTTTTAAGGGGAGACAATAGTCTTCCTCCTTGGCGTTCTGGATTAAAAGATGTAATCCTTTTTGAGACTGCTTTTTTCATCCTGGATACAAATATGATTCGTTCCACCCTCAAGTCTTTATTTGAGTTACAAGGAGGCATGCTTGAATTTCAGCAAAGTTTTTGAAAATATGTCTTTATGCTGAAGCCAAACCACATACTATAATGTTTCAAGACAATATCTGTGCATTCCTGATTATTTTGCTGTCTAAAGTTAAAAATTAAACTCTTTATGTAGGTGCTTGTAATTTGCAAATCTAATGATGGTGCTCTGTTCACATTTAGCAATTAAGTTTGTTTGGTTTGAAATTCTCTCTTTCCCCCCTTTTAGTGTAGAGACATGTCCACTGTTCAAAATACAGACAGCTGTCTATTAAACATCGTACACCAACATGGCTATCTTAAATTTGTTTATGTGAATCATGCATACCTTTCTGCATTAAGATCATGCTTATAAACCATGGGTTTGTTTTGATTGTTGGCTAATGAAGCACCTTGCAGAGTGATTTAAATGTGAAGGAAGCCTGGTTGTTGAGGGCTTTGACAGTTGAAGTGAGTGTGCTATTTGCTTCTGTTTGAATAATCTTATGTTGGAAAACAGTATCTAGTTGTCTTTTCATGAATATTTGTTTCTGTGTTTGCTTAAAGAGTTTTAAAAATCATTGGAAGTATCCATCTCCTAGTTTCAAAACAGCAAGGAGTGCTATGCACGAAGTGACTGGATAACTGATCCGGAACAGAAGAAAATTTTAGAAACAGGGACCATGCTGGTTGTAAATGTCTTACTTGCCCTGTAGCGTTTCTTTTGAGTTCAGAATTAAACTTAAGCTGATGTGCTGAAAAGAAAATGAGAATGAATCTTGTCGGAGAAGATCATTAAAGAGCAATGTGTTCAATTGGGTAGATGGGAATGGCCTAGCTGCCAAAGCCTTGTATTTGTTAAAAGGAACCCCTTGTGGATAAACTTTGGAAATCTTGCACCACCCTACAGGGAGGGGCATGTATCAATGAGTGCTAGATACCTAGGAAGAAATTGAAAACCAAGTCATGTGTGTGGCCACACTTCCAGCCACAAACCTTTTCTGCCAGACTAAGCCTGTGGAGACTCAAGTCTTTGTGAAACTTGATGAAAATAATAGTTGAGGGGCTTTAGAGGTAAAAACTAGTTCTTGGGTAAGGAAGAGCTTGCTAGGATGACTAATCCCTGTTCTGATATTATTCTCTTAACATGCTTTTAATGTTCAATGCTGTTGACGTGTTTTTCAACTTTGAGACGAACAACTTCAGGTTCTTTATTTGTAAATGATTCAACCTCTGCTTATCATTTCTTCTCTTTTTCCCTTGGGAGTGAGTAGTTTTACTCTTTTGAACTTTTTTCAAAATTGCAGGGAACTTTGCCTATTACTTTTCTATTTCAAGATGAAAACATGAATGATTGCTCAAGTTATATGATGGTGGTTTCTAAAGTAGTTTGCTTCATGGAAATAATAGGATGCTGTTTTTGGTACCAGCTAACTTATTGTTTTGACTTACTTGTTTTCTGATTGTTGAATTGATTCAATTAAATTCTCTTTGATAGATTTTTGATGCCATAGTTCATGATCCACCTTATGGGGTTCGTGCTGGGGGGTGCAATTCTGGTGGCTGAAAATTGCTCAAGGGAATTGTGCCCATACACTGTTCCTGATGACAAGAAAACTGACCACATACCTTCAACTGCTCCATACAGCTTAGCTGAGTGTGTCGATGACCACTTGACCTTGCTGCTAGAATGCTAGTAATGGGTGGCAGGCTTGTATGCTTTTACACTGTATTGAGAGAAGATGATGTGGAAAATCACTCTCCAGAGCACCCATGTTTGAAATTAATAGTGTCTTCTGAACAGATTCCAAGTTCACGTTATTACTAACCATAGTGAAGACAGTTTCATACGCTGACAAAATCGCTGAGGCAGCCAAGATCGAGCACCAGGAGTTCAAGGAGAATTTGAAGTGGTAAGAAGATGGTAATCTTAATTCTTCTGTTTTCAGTCCAGCTCATCCCCAGTTATGTGAAACAACTGATTCTAAATTGTATAAAGAACTGAAACCAAAATACAGAGGAAAATATGTATGACTTTGCTGCAACTCCATGTTATCTAGGACATTACGTCCCAAAAAAAGTGAACCAGGACATTGCGCCTTGATGACTGCATTTTGCTTTCTCATGATTTTCATCTTGATGGAGAAAGAATAGATAGATGGAAGGATAGAATATTTATGAAACCAGGAAAGATGGAAGGATAGAATATTTATGAAACCCGGAATAAGCTTGCTATATTTGCCCTTTTCTGACGAACACGAATCAATGTTATGTCTGCCTTTTCACCTGTACCATAAGAATCATTTGCCCCCCTTTTTTTTTTAGAGTGGCGTTACTAGGAATAGCATAATTATTTATTCTTTAATCTTTTTTTCTGCTGTTAGGTTGCTAATTATTTTTGTGATTGCTATTAAAAAGAAAGCCTTCAAATCATATAGTACAAGGTCTACTTTCTTCGTCTCAAATGCGTTTTTCAGCCTGCTCACCAAGTTGCCTTTTCATTGCTCACCTTGTCTCAGTGAAACGATCGTGAAGATCTAACAAAGACGAGAGGGAGGCATCATACAAGAGACCTAGTGATGCATAATACTCCATGCTTGTGCAACACTCTGTTAAGCCTTCAGCCTTGCAAGTTGCCCTTTTGCAGTATTTCAACTTTTTTTTTTTTTTAATTTGTATGAGTATCAGGAAAAGGATTGCCCCTGTAACTTGCAATCGTCTTCGTTTACTGTAATGATTTCGAGTTGGGTTTGACCTTATATGGTGAGATCATGAGTTAGGTGAGGATATCTGCCCATTTCTGGATAGAAGGGAAAATGGAAGCCATTTTCTTCACGCAACGGCTCAGGGATGACTAGTTTACAGCACGTGATACTCTCCTGTTATAGTTTGTGGCTTATGAGGAAATGCTGGAGTGGAGCCATTGTCTTCGTCCTTGCGGTACGGTAAAGAGATATTAGATCTCCCGGATGGAATATGATTTACTATAAATATATATTATATTATCTTCAATTGATATACTGTGAAATAAAATAGAGAATAATATAAATTATATTTTAAAATTTTATTTAATAGTTTAAGTTTTTAAGTTGAAATAATTTTTTAATATGGTATTAGATTTTTAAAAATCAAATTTCATATCTTATTATTTTTATTTATTTGATAAAAATTAAGTATAAGATAATATGGATCTGTATAAGTTTCAAGTCTAAATAATCTTTGCTTGAGAGGTTATGTTAGATAATAATATAAATTATATTTTAAAATTTTATCTAATAACTTAAATTTTTGAGTTGAATTGATTTTTTGACAGCTTCTATGTATATAAATATATTTGCTCAACTATTTAATTCAATTTAATTCATGTGTTTTTTCTTTATTATTTTCAATATTTATTAATAATTATTGAAGGTTTTAATGTATCTTTAAATAATTTTTGAAGGTGATAAAAAATATTTAGGTTAAAAAGAGCTATTTGATATTCATATTAAATCTAGCCCGATAAAGAAATTTTGAAAATATAATTTTTATTTAGTTAGAATTTAAAATAAAATCATGTCAATATAATTTAATTGATTTAACTAATTTAAAAATAATTTAAATAACTGTTAAAAAAAATTAAGAATAAAATTGAAGCTTGGGTAAATTGTCAAAAAAAGAAACCCTAAATTAATAAAGTAATGCTTGGTATCATATTGTTAGCTCTTCAGTAATGTAATAATAATAATAAAAAAAAAAAAAAATTATTCTAATTAGTGATAGGCTAATAAACATATAAAAAACATTAATCCCATTGGACATCAATATAATTATCCTAATTAGTGATAGACTAATATAACTCTTTACAAAATAATAATAATAA